GCAAAAACACTATTTGCGGGATTTGTAGCGCACGTTTCGCTGTAATATTTTAGAACAAGGAAGTTGAAGGTCTGAAGATTACGAAAAAAAATAAATCAGAAAATCGCATATTTTGACCAAAATCGGCACTTTACTTGCCGCGCCCCCCCTTAAGCTAAATCCTCTTTATAGGCCTCCAGGTTTCTGTTCTGTAGGTAAGTACTGGCAAGATGCAGCTTTTATATACCTTCCTCTTGATGGTTGGTGGCAGATTACCATTCGTAATTTCAGAATGCTTGCCAAACGTGATCCACCCGATTCTTATACTTCTAGTTATTTCACTCTCTTGGTTCGGCTCCACGGTTACTACCGTTCCTAAGTAGACATATTCCTTTACAACTTTCAGCGTCTCTTTCCTGATTTTCGTGCACGCAGCACTTCGCGCTACAGCATCGCCAGCTCTTGAAATTTCGCCGGCATGTAGGCCTATCACTCTTCTCCCAGAACCCACTCCGGCAGAGCGGCATTCACGCTAAAAATACAACAAAAAAATCATTTTCCCACTGCATTCTAGCATGGCGAGTAGGCCTTCGAAGTCACGTGGTATGATAGGAGCCCTGCCATTGGTTGCGAGCATGCCGCCACGCAGTCGGATGCGAGCGCTTTCTTCATTCTCTTGCTTTTGCCGAGACATCGATGAACACAACCGTCTGAGTTATTATTTCCACACCATAGATGCCGGTGAGAAACGCTACTTTTGTTCACGGAAGTTCATTACGCGGCACCAGTACGAGGGAAGGTGCCTCAAACGCAAGCAGTGAGCGCCGATGAGAGGTTCGTCTGCTGCTAGGCCTAGCCGCGACAGAAGCGACGCACCCGATTTGGATTGTTCGAGCTTCATTCCTAGGGTTGATGACTTCGTCAGTGTTTCAGAGTGAAAGATAAAGATGTTCGACGACAAAAGCAAGTGTCAGGACGAACGTGGAAGCACAGTTATTTGTGAGACCGATGCGATGCAGAACCTCGTTAGCAGAGCAGTATGCTCCAACTGTGGGCGGTGCGAGCTGTCCATTCGAGTAATGGCAAGTAGACGATAAGGACTGGCATCGTTTTCGAAACTTTAGCGTCGAAATGACGCATGTGCTGCAACTGTTCTTTCGTCCACGTACGTGTCAAGCCGCGTGTATCCGTCATGCAGTGGAAGCGAGGAGACGTTCCGCCAGTGGCAGTACACCGGACAGCTTCGCTGTGAGCATTAAGTCGGTGGTTGCACCATCGACGTTGGACACGAGCAGCTTATGCATTTTTGTGCAATCATTGGTGTTCAAAAACCACTGCATCACAAGAACTGCCATTGGTAAAAAAAAAAGTGCATACTGCCGCCGAAAACCTCGCGAGTCCGAGAGCAATGACCCATCGTCGTAGTACCGGAAAAAAAAAGCTCCTCAGGAGGAGTGCAAGGGTCCAATATATAGTGCTGGATTATTCTGAAACTGTCAACTTTTTCAAGATAGCTTTGCTGACATTCTCTGTGAATTTCATGCAAATTGATTGAAGAGTATATTATTAAACATGTTTTTGAACTTTCAGACCTCTTTTTTTCAGTTCCTTATTTTTCGGCATTTTTAGAGCTTGTGCACTATAATTTGTACGCTTTACGGAGTCGGATTGCAATAAAACTTGGCATGCTTGAAGTTTAACATGTCCTGAATTCAAGTAAACAACTTTCAGAGGTCTCAAAAGCATATTCAGCTAGATAATTTCAGAAGCTTGTTTCTTGAGTACGGTAAAACTCAAACTCAGCATTAGAATTTGTTTCTAGGCCAGCACACGAATGTTACACAATGTTTCTTTGCTTTATTCAATTCTGCAATTCATTAGGAGCAACATTTGCTAATTTTGAGCTTTCTTGTGCTTACTATTCTCGCTTAAGCTTGTACAAAAATGGATTGTTTTTACAAATGCATGGTCTGCAAAAAATTAACTAAATGAGCCATAAAAAAATAAAAACTCTATATAACTGGTGAAAATTTCATTGGGCTGTCACAAATATCTGAGGAAAAAGTTTTTCGAGGAGCTTCTCCCCTTAAACAACAAGGTTTTGTAGCACTGCAGGCTGTCAAAAAGAATGGTTTCATAGTAATGCCTGATGGTCAAATTCAGAGCAAACCTCTCACATCAATTGAAGACGACTTGGTAAGTTTCCCATTAGCCACAACAACGAAAGAAAGCTGCCATGACGTTTTTGAAGAGGACCAGCCTATGAAGGCTGCGAAAAGCCATTAAAAAGGCTGAAGACCTGAACCTGGCAGAACCAAATCAGTCTCTACCTTCAGCACCACTTGAAGTTGCTAACAATCAATTACCCTTTTCTGATAACAAGCTCAAGTGATCTGGTTCAACTTCTGGAGAGGGGTGGATTGGATGCAGCCTGCTCTGCCTTTTCACTGGACGTCGAGGAGCTCTTCTACTCTATACTACACCAAGACCTCTTCAATGCAGTATGTGAGTGTTCTGAGCATTCGGAGGAGCTCAGCTTCCATAACTCTACTGGCTTAAACAATGTAAATTTCTTAGAACTTGTGCAATTTTACCTCCAGTCAACCAACCACCACCTCATTTAATGGACAGCAGTATGTGCAGAAAAGTGGCATATGCATATGATACTTTGTGACATACTTTTAGCCTCTATTGACCGACGTGTTAATGCTCAGGTTGCTGACTCGGTTGTCGTTAGTATATTTAGATATGTAGATGACTACTTAGTAGTATTACCCACTCTGATTTCCACAGATTTTGAGAATATTGTCGGGATGATCAGCAGTGTTTTTACCACTGAATCGCATGGTCAAACATTTACACATGAGAGGTCCCGTGAGACAACAGCAAGCAATTTTGAGATCTGAAGCCAACTAAAGCACAGTTCATATCAAATAAAGAACATGTCTGTATGTCTTGCAGAATGAAAAGATTTAATAGAATCCATAAAAAAAGGATAAGACGGAGGGAGAGCCAGCACTGCCACGCGTCTGCCACTGACGAGCTTAAATAATGATGATGATTACTCTTCTGCTATGATGCACGAAAAAAATGAAGTCACAACAGTCTCCTACGCCAACAGCTGACATTAGTTAGTCTCCAATGGGTACAGTAGCTGTACAGGCCACTTCACCCCGTTGCTCTCAGGAAAGCGTAGAGCGAGTCCTGATAATGCCATACCGTCCACCAATCAATTCTTCTTCACAGTTGCCTTAGATGCTCTTTTTACCTGAGTATAACTACATAGCCTTTCTTCAGTAAATCATTTCTTTTTGCTCGGTTGGATGGGTAGTTCCCGAGTTCATAAAGGTACTCTCCAAACCAACGAGACTAGAAGGCTTGCGAGTCCTTTTCTCTTTTGCTCCAAAGTTTTTCAGTTATTCGTTGGTTGACTCAGTGTTGATTTTGAGGTTGCAAGGTGGTAACATTGTCAGTCTTCTTCTAACAAGAAAATCTGCTGGAGATAAGGGGTACGGCAAATCCATGTCCCTGAACACATATATTAAAGTAGAGACTTTACGACAGCCTCCACTTCCATTAGTAGTCTGCCTGATTGAAAAGAAACCGCCCAAGCACCTTCTTCAAGCAGGTTTTCACAGAATGTATGAGTTTACCTTGAAACCCGCACCACCAAAAAGTGCTTGAGAAAACTAATTTTCCTTGAATCGTCGAGCAAGAGAAGAATGTGACTACATCGGGCTGTCTAATCGTTTTCCAGAGCTTCTATAGACATTTGGACATTTAGACTAAGGTTCGTGCACTGACGCTGAACATTGTGTGATAGAGGCCACGCTGTGATAAGAATTTCAGCAATGCACAAAGAAAACTCCCTGTCGTCAAGTTTTCAACTAATTCTAAGCATACAGCTCTTGTTACCACACACAAAAAAATGGCAACATAAGAACTTTCGTGGGGATGTTCTTTGATATTGTCACAAGGTCGTGATGTGGACGAAGGGAGCAGACTATAGATTTAAGATGAAACTGTTTATTTGGCTGAACTTGTGGCCAGAGAACAAAAAGCCACATTGCAGCAATACGCACTGGCACTGACAGCGACAAACTAAGCGTCGGCCACTGAACAAGTGACAAGTGGTGAAGTGCGTCGGCATTTATACAAGTGCCCTCGAACATTCCGCCGTTGTCGCTAACACTTATGGACCTAACACTTATGGTAGCGCCCACGCTACCATAAGTGCTAAAGCATCGCAAAGTGCATATTGCTTGCAGGAAGCTCATTATTGCTGCATTAACCTAAACAGCTACTCACCGCATCGGTGAACTGTTTGAAAAGCCCAAAGAACAATCCCGCGGCACACATACACTACAGCTGCGGTAGCCTACTAGCAAGAAACATCGGCTTCATATGGCCATACTGCGTTTCATTGAAACTGTGCCACTTTTCACTTAGAATTAGTAGCAGATCACGGTGCGCACACTTACACATGCATTGCGAAAAGCCCATATTTTCTATTCTGTCACGATGTCAGTGGCCACGTATCTCAGATCATGTAATAGCTTCAAAATGCTCGTGACGATAGTTATAGCACGAGAACAGAACGATGACAAAGAGACAAGAAAGACACGAGTGCTATCTCTTTATCGTCATTCTGTTCTCGCGCTATAACTATCGTCATGTCATACCAACTAGCACAAACTGCTACACTCCAAATGCTCCTTGACATGACCGCTGTGTGCTACTGGATGGTCGTACGAGCGTCAAAGTTTTTTCTTCACTTTGGCAAAAACAAAGAAAATGCTTTGTGATGGCTACGGGCAATACTTGATGTGGCATTGTATTTAACTCTTTTTTGACGGCCATGGCATACGCCAGGAGATGCAAATTCGCACTTGGCTTAATGCGCACTATCATTTATTGCCCAGTTATGTCTTGTTCGCGACAGGTACACATTAATGAGGTCTTACAGTACTTGGTATTCAATCACAGAGTGAATCAGCAAAGAAGCCCATCGGTAGACGTACAAAGGCAGGTGGCGACACGAGTGGGTTCCCGTCGACCAGCAGGTGACGCAGGGAGCTCATGAGGCGCAGCAAGGGAGGCAGTCGGGCAAGCTGGTTCTCAGACACGTCCAAACGCCACAGGCGCAGCCGGCACAGCTCGGCTGGCAGCTCCGACAGCTGGTTGCGGCGCACACGTAGCGACCGCAGAGCCTGAAGCTCCCCAATGCCTGGAGGTAGCTGTGACAGCTCATTACAGCTTACATCCTGTAAAAAGAAGTATGAAAAAGCCCTTCAGCTGTTGTGATGCTACAAGAAGACATTAAGATAAATGACTATTTTCCCTTTATCTATAGTTATCATGTTCCTTATCAACCCTTTGAGATCCGAAACACTTTCTGACCTTCCCTCCAAGCTCAAGTTAAAGAAGTTAACTTTTACAGGTGCCCATAGTGTAATGAGAAAACACACTTGTGAATAAACCGCAACAGAACTTCTACAGCAGTTCATTTCGACAGGATAGGGTGCGCACATGAACATGAGGACGCTTCGCCATTCAAAGCTGTACTAACTGTCTTGAGCCTGTCATAGTTCAGATTTTTTAAACATGTATTTTCATTAATATATTGTATTCTTTGCATTTTTTCTTTATGTTTTTGCATAAACCACCCCCCTCTGTGTAGCCTTTATGCACCCTGAGGGTAAAATAAATGAAATGAATGCTAGACAGGGCTCGTACAGGTTTCCAATGCATAAATTCAAGAATATTCAAGGACTTTCCAGGACTTGTTGCGAGATTTTCAAAGGCTCAAAGCGGCACGCTAAGTTGGAATTTTTCAATCTAAAATTTTTAAAAAATGACAGATCTTATGCACTTACAATATAGGGATATCGCAATTGTAACAAAACAGAATATAGTCTTCATACCTTCTCGCACTTTCTCCCTTACACTACAGACGTAAGAAAGCTGCGGACTGTTGGGCTTCAACGCGTATGTATAGTCGGGCCTTAAAGGGGTGGTGCCACAATATTTGTGGCTTGTGCGCTCTTTCCTGCAAGCTTTAATTACAATAGCTCCACAAGCACAATACATGGTCCAAGATTAATTTATTCTTGTTACATAACTATCGCCGTTTTGATATGGACAACTTTCAGTTCCTGTTAGTGGGCACCTAGTTGGTCAGGTACGTAGCAGTGTAGCTGACTTAGTCACGTGATCAGTGCATACGCCATGCTGAGTATCGTCTGCTCACGCACACAAGTGCTACACAAGCACCTCTCAAACAAACACTCCGCTAGCTGCAGCCTCCACAATGCTTTGCCGGTATGCACGTGGCAGAAGTCCGGAGGTTACTCACCTCACTACAAACCTGGTGTGACATCACTACAACTTTCGTTGCCCTTCCTATACAGCTGCGTCAGTGTTGGATGTGCTCGCAATGGACTTCAATTAAGAGAATGAGCATTTACGTAAGCTTGGGAAGTGACTTGAAATATATTCTAAATGTTTTCTAAGTCTGTCCATTCGTGTGGAGTGTCCTTGCATACAGAAGCAACCCGCATGATGCTTGCTATAACCTCGCAATTAGATGGCACCATTACAAGTGGTGGCTTGTGCAGTTGACACTTCGCAGCACGCTGCTGGAACACCAAGAAGTAACTGTTAAAGCGGTTAACTTACACTCATCCTGTGGATACATGTGTGTTCTTTTCTAGCATCCTTCTTGGTGTTTAAAGGGAACTCTGCCATTTTTTCGGTAATCACTGATTTTAATAAAACTTTGCACATGTGCCCTCGTCGGTACAGTGGTAATATGTGAAAAATTATACAAGCGCAACTCATCTAGTTTTTCAGGAAAAAACATTTTAAAATTGGTAGCCGATTGTGGAATCACACTTGTACATACGGGCCACCCATTGTATGTGACATAAGGGTCTACTCTTTTTCAAAAAACCCGCCTTTCCCAGCAGATGGATGCAGCACGCGCCTTCTTCTACGAGACGAGGAAAACACAAGCACAGTTCAGTTTTGTGAGCTACACACCACAGCATGTTAGTAGGCATTTACGTCAGGTCTTATAATATTGAGCAACGATGAAATCGATTCGGGGCACATCAGATGCTTCACGAGCCGGCGGGGCGAAACCAAAAAGCAATGCTTCCGTGTTCCGAGAGTAGCTGCAATCCTCGCTGAACTAGTCAGTGGTAAGTTCAGACGAGCTGGCACAGCTCGATTCCGCACCGGATGACATCGCCAACTTGCTTTTCACGCGTCAGAAGAGGCACGTGAGCTATGTTTACACCATGACCAGCCATGTCGGGAACAGGGTGTAGCGAATCTCGTGACCTCATTCGATACCCGCCATGGTGACGGAGCAGCTCCCTGTTTGGCTTCTCTTTTGACTCATCGTTTACTGCTCTATTAACATTATTGGTAAGTGCCTGGGCAAAGTTAACCACCCAAGCTTTTGCAGGACCGTCAATACTATTTGAAAACAGCATTATCTCAGTATGGTAAAAAATGCACCGGAGTTTTCCTTTAAGCAGCACACTTCCAGTGTCGAGCTGCAACAGTTGTTCATCAGCACTCGTCCTGTGCACTTTCCTTTCGTGCGTCCTTCGTGCTTGAGCGGCGTGTTGCATGTATAGAGTTGCTTGCCCTTCTTCGTGTGACATTCTTATTTCTTGATATCACATTCACTGCTTCACCCTCACCATAAAACTAACTTTTTTCCCCATGCATTTTTGCAAAATGGGACTATGTGCACCCACGCCGCATTACTGCTTTAGAAATCGGGAGTTTGACAGGTTGACGCATCGATCTAATACATTTAGAAGGCCGTGATATTGATATGAGAGTGCACTGCTCATGAAATTCAAGGATTTTCAAGGATGGCGAAAAATTGATTGATTGATATGTGGGGTTTAACGTCCCAAGCCGGTAAAAAATTCCAGGGCTTTCAAGGGCCTTGAAAATGCATTCTTCCATCAAGGGTTTTCAAGGATTTCAAGGATCTGTACGAACCCTGCTAGAAGAACGAAAAACAACACAGGCCCAACACTAAAATTTATCAGAAAGGAAGGCTGTGATGCAACATCTATCACATGATCTGGAAACTCTCATCCATGGAGTACTGAAAAATACAAAAAAATTTGGAGCTTGGAGCACTGGAACAAGTGCCTTAGGTCTCACTATCAGTGTACTGATAAGATATGAAAATTCTAGTTCTGTCATTGTGATGGAGGGGATGCTTAGACATCTTTTCTTGCATCTAATGACAGGCCAGTTCTCCAGTGGTTCGATGAGAGTGCTTTGATCACAAAAAATGGGAGTGAACCAGCACGAGCTACAATGCTGAGACATATGTGCAAAGTTTGATGATCTTCTGTACTGCTGCAACCTAGTTTTCACGAATCTTCCTGTATGTAGATATGACAACAGTATTAAAGGGACAACACTAATGTGAGACAAACACAAGGTAAAGATTGATGAACTGCACTCTCTCACGTAATACGTTTCACCATCATTAGAGCAGTGATAGAAGTGGCATTTTACGTTTTGGAGCAGCTGATGGAGCCGGCAAAATTACAATTTGGAGCAGCCACTGGCAATTTTGAAGCAGATGTGAAAATATGCTTCTGTAGATTTATGAGGGTAAAAATAACTCACAAGAAATGCATAAAAGTTTTAAACATTTATTGTGTACCATACTGTACATAAAACAAAACCAAAAAATGCAGAATACACATTATTTAAAAAGACAGAAGATCTCTGTTGCCTTCAACTTCAGAATCAGAAAATTACAACACTAAAAAAGTGAGTTGAGGTACATCACTAAAGTGTCCTGGTTTTAAGTTGTATCAACTTGCACTCCAAAACCAAAATAGAGAAAACCCAACTATAGCAAAAGTCAAAAGATCACAGTCGTCCTTATATGTACCACATTTTTTTTTTTAATTGAACACTCCAAGTTTCAGGCTTTTTTGTAAACAGAGTTCAGGTACACCAAACAGCCCTGAGGCTGGACCGATTTCAGACAATCAAAATGACTGCAGTAAAAACATAGTGATTGAAGCTGTCAGTTCCTATGGACAGTACATGGCATCAGGTACAGTCAGTCGAGGTAATCACACTCATGAATCATATTGAGCATCCTACAGTGGCTTGCCACACACTTTTTTTTAAGCTTCGAGCTTGTGGAGAGCTTCTGCAAGCCTTGCTTGTCTTTCGTTAAGGGGAGACGCGGGTCGAAAAGTAGCGGTTTTCCGGAAAATTTTCGCTTTTTTTTTTTCCGGCTGTATTGGCATCCTTGGACTATAATCTATTACTTCTGAAAATATCAAGCTGAAATTCGCACGAGAAATTATCAAAAAATGCTTTCAAGTGGGCAGCGGTGACGTGAGAAATGCGCGAAAGTCGCGAAAAACGGCGAAGTTCGCGTCGTCCTGTCGCGAAAACGACACGTTGGCCGCCATTTGCAATCGTGCACGCATGCTGCGAAGGCCGTATCCTTCATAATCCACTAGTAGCCAGTCTCGTGCCTTCACGCAGAATAAACAAAAAACGAGAAAAACAACGCGTACGTCACGCGTTTTGAATATCGCGGCACACAGCGCGAGGCCGCCATTGGACGGCGGTGCGCTCCACGCTCCTCCCCTCCTATCTCTCCGGCAAAAGAGCGAAGCCTCGGACGTCGCGATCGAGTTTTTCTGCGTTTCTCTGCATTTTTGCGTCATGGCAAGCCCGAAGAAGTGCAGTTCAGATAATCGAAAGTTCAGAACTCGCCACAAGTATCGAGGGAAACGGCGTCGGACGCTTCGCAAAGCGACAGCGAACGACGATGTCGCCCCCGACCAACGCCCCGACGCTCCGACTTCGGATAGGCCTAACACCGTCACCGAACCCTGCGACAGTGGTTGTGAAATAGCCGCTGCCGTGGAATTCGTCAGTGCATCCCAAAGGAAGATTGGATTCTTCGAGAGTGAACGTAGACCGGTAGATGCTGCTACTGCGAACATGCTGCTTTGCGAAATCGATTCGCTGACGGCACTTGTGGCGGGTGCGCAATGCCCAACCTGCCGCGAACGGAAGCTCGGCGTGCGAGAGGCAGCTGGAAAGCGCAAAGGACTTTCGGCATTCCTCGAACTGTGCTGTCAAAATTCTCATTCCCCTGAATCTGCACTTTCGTTCACGCACACGTCGAGACGTACTGCTTCGGCCGGGGACCAAGGAACGAGCACTCGTTTTGACAGCGGCAGCTCGCGTG